TTAAATTTTTCAAGCAATAGAAACTACCAATAAAAACCACCAACTACCCCCACTTCCTCCACTCCCCTTCCTTTTAAAAACTAACTGAATTTCTCCTCTTGCAAGAAACGTTTTTTTTCAAAATGCAAAATTTTTAAATCTATTAATATAGAATAGGAGAGGCAAAGAACTATTATGATGACAAGTGGCATAACATTAAATTGACACATATAAAAAATTTGGACAATCTTCCAACTTTCTTGGAGTTTCAAAATTCAAATTTATTTAAAAATAGATGTGAAAGACACGTTTTTTTTTCAAAATTCAAAAATTTTAAATTTTTCAAGCAATAGAAACTACCAATAAAAACCACCAACTACTCCCACTTCCTCCACTCCCCTTCCTTTTAAAAACTAACTGAATTTCTCCTCTTGCATATATTGGATTAGAAAAAACGTATAGTTCCCTTTTTTCTTTCACCGAAAAATTTGCCGGGGAAAATTTCATCCAAAAATCGTTCTTTGTGATTTTTCGTTGTTCGATGAGTAAATGCTAAGCATCTAATCATTCATATTTTGCAATTATGCATCTCAGATGATGTACTTTCCTTCTGCTTTTGACTTTTTCCTTTCATGTGTGAATGCTGAATAATATATATATATATATATATATATATATATATATATATATATATATATATATATATATATATATATATATATATATATATATATGACTATCTACATACTTTGTTTTTATCAATGTAATACATAAAAACTTTTTCCTCTTTAAAATCTTTAAAAACACAAGAAAGAATTTCTTAATGTTTTGTTTGTTTCCTCGATTTAAAATAGTGAAAGGAAAGATTTTTTTTTCTTCTAGAATTCTTTCAAATTAGTTTAGCCTTTATTCTTAGCAGAAGGGGTTGTTTTTAAAAATGAAATATTCTCATTAAAACTCATAAAGTATTAGGAATGATCAAACTACATGGATTAAAATTTGTAATTTGCGCGACTCTAAATGCAAAGAAACATTACCCTTTCAGTTAGTTTAGGCATGATCTTAGCAAGTTTATCCAGAAATCGTACAAGTTTATCCGGGGAAATTGCATCCAAAATCGTTCTTTGTAATTTTTTGTTGTTCGATGAGTAAATTGCTAAGCATCTGATCATCATTTTGCAATTATTCATCTCAGGTGATGTACTCCCTTCTGTTTTTGACTTTTTCCTTCCATGTGTGAATGCTGAATATATATATATATATATATATATATATATATAACTATCTACATATTTTTAACTTAAAGTAGGATTGGGATATTGAGACTTAACTCATCAGGAAGTGACGAATACGAGTCAGCGCTAACTTTGCTGGGCACTGGTGTATTTAACTCTTGATTAGCGTTTTGTGGGGAAAATCATGCTATCAATCTCCAGTTTGTTCATGAAGTCCTCATCGCCATTTGAAAATAGGATACACATAAACATTTTGAAGGTAGCCTTTCAGATTAAAGTTTTTAACACTATCAAGTTTTTAACTCAAAGTAGGAATGGGACATTATCACATTGAGACTTAACTCTGAAGCATATTGTGACAAAATTATGCAAGGACAGTATACTTTAATATTAAAGTAAGAGATACTAATAAGTAATAACATTATCATATGACAATTCAATCTTTACAAAAATAAAACTATTTTCGTCGATATCATACTCTAATTATGTAGCCAACTCTAAAGTCAAACATCATAACGAATCTAAGGTTACAGAGAAGCCTTCGACACTTTTAATAGGCATAGCATTGCAAGTGTTATTGGCGCTATAAAGCAAGTGCGCTCAATCATTTTGACAACACATTCTATGGAGGAAGTTAATATTTTATTTTATCAAATTAGAGTTATGTAAAAGGGCATACTTTACTGTCTTGATGATGTGAATTCCACAAGTAATATGATAGACAGGAAATTTATTGAGATTGTCAAAGAATTCTTCAGACATGTCCTTTTACCAAGAATTTTTTTCTTGATATTTTCTACTATTAATAAACTCATGCGTCTAACTTAAGTTTTTTGTTTGACTTGACTTAGATGTCACACCAAAAGAGGAAGATAAGTCATGCTTGGCATTTGTTGTTCCTCACGACAAGGAGAATCAGAAGACGTATTAATATTATAACATTTCTGATATTCTGTTTACATGTGTGTGTATGTGTGCACGTCTGCATCAGAAGCTCTTTGCTGAGATAGAAATTAGTTAAATGGAGTTTGGCATATGGGACATCCATATGTCTTACAATGCTAAGAAGTCTTCTTGAACATTGCTGAGAAGGCAGAGCTATAAGAACATGAATCTGAAGGAAGCATCAAAACACGAATTTTGAAATTCAAAACTACTCCAGGTTAGTGCTTCAATTTGAGTTAACATTATGTTGTCAAGTGGCTCATTACAATCTAAAGAAATATAACTTGATATAACAAATAGGTTGAAGAATATCACAAATAGGTTGATGTATATATGTAGTTTATAAACAAAATTTGAGGGATCAAACAATTAATATCTTTAGTATGACAGTGGGATGTCATGCACAATGATTGTGGGTTTTATTTGATTTTTAAAGTGTGCAATTAAAGATCTGTTCACTTTGATAAGATTTATGGATATCCTTTGTCCACATGGATACTTAAGGATATTGCATAGATTTTGGCAGCTTAAGAATGTTTTCGGCCAAAAGATCTGATTCTTCATTTCTAAAATTAATTCTCTATAACTAGGCTAAGTTATTCAATTTACTAGGATCTATCTTTTATATAAATTCAATACTATTGTATTATACTTTGTTTTTATCAACGTAATACATAAAACTTTTTCCTTCTTTAAAATCTTTAAAACACAAGAAAGAATTTCTTAAGTTTTTGTTTGTTTCCTCGATTTAAATAGTGAAAGGAAGATTTTTTTTTTCTAGAATTCTTTCATATCAGTTTAGCCTTTATTCTTAGCAGATGGGGTTGTTTTTAAAAATGGAGTATTCTCATTAAAACTCATAAAGTATTAGGAATGATTAAACTACATGGATTAAAATTTGTAATTTGCGCGACTCTAAATGCAAAGAAACATTACCCTTTCAGTTAGTTTAGGCATGATCTTACATATGTGAATGTAACATTGCCCGTATTTCTTTGCCAAATTCTGTCTTCATCATTGTTGTAATATTTTTGTTGAGTTTTTCGCATCGAGTTAACAATTCAGGAAGTGTAAAGTCATACATCGAGAAACAACAACTTTGGTTGTGGAAGACAGAAATCATACAAGTTTATCCAAAGTTTGATCTTTGATGTTCGATCTTTGATCATTACATGAATTCATTTGTCAGATAAAGTTTCTAGCCAGAGAAAGCAAACAATTTCGTGGAATTTGTTGTGAAAAGTGAGTTCAGTTTGCATTTGCTTAGATTTATATTCCAGAGAAAGATGGAGTTCGACGAGAATGCTTTGTTCGTAAAGCTCATTATTTTATTTTATTTTATGTAATAAATTCAAGCTAATTGAACAGAGACAGTGATTTTGTTACATATATTGTAGAGTCTTAAAGAATGTGACTATTTTTTTTTTTGTTCCAAATACGGTTTAAGAAGTAGAGGTTGTTACTTTCATTAACCATTAACATATTATTTTTGATCACTTTTCATTACCATTTCAAGTAATATTTCTTATTATTTTTTAATTTTATAATTCCCCGCACATCGTGCGGGTACGGATACTAGTTATTAATTAAAAAAGAATTATTAGAAGAAATTGATTATAAAAGAATTATTCGTAATTTTGCATTTCAAAAAGCTAGAAACGTAGATTTCAAATAAATAACATATATTAATTTTCTTTTAAAGAAAAAGGTTAAAGGCCTCTTACAAAAGTTTGGCTTTAGGTTCCCAATAGTACTGAGTCGCCCCTATACTAATATCATAACCGACTTGTAAATATCCTAGCAATTATTACATTGGCCACAAGTTCATACCACCATCATAATTGATTTGCAAAATATTTTGGTAAATCGTCATAATTGGCCATAAATTCTGACCATTGACATAGTTGCCATGCGAAAAATTCACCAATATGTTTAGCTTCAAGAATGACCCAAATCAACTTCAAATGACTCCAAATTTGATATATAACCTTCCAATATCAATTTCAACTCCAATGGTTAGATTAAACATAAACCTTCAAAAATCAATAAATTCACTATTTCTTCTTCAAAAAGTTTTTTTTCAAGCTCGAACAAAAACCAATAATGGTATTTCTTTATGTTCTCAACCAAACTAATTCAAATCATCAAAGACAGACAATATAAGTAAATAGTACCTACTTAATTTTAATTACAAATAAGTAATGAATCTTCAATTTTCTATATCACATTTCATTATTTTTGAATTTTAGGTGTCATAATTTTTTGGAAGAAAAAGAAGGAAAAGGTGAAAGAAGAAGAAAAAAAAAATGCAGAAGGATGAAGTAGGAGAAGAAGAAGAAGATACAGAGGAAAGAGGAAAGAGGAAAGAGGAAAGAGGAGGAGGAGAAGAAGAAAATATAACAAAAAGCTAAAAAGAATTAATGGGATCAAAATACAAATGATGATGACCAAGTGAGACTTTTTCATGCATTCATGATTCATCTTAGCATATTTTCATCTAGGCATTTTAGATGATCAGACTTTCAGGTTTCATTCTCTCCTCGATACATATTTGAAAACTCTGTTGCACACTAGAGTTTATTTGATCTTCCTATTCTTAGGTACTTTTCACAATATCCATCTTACTATTATAAATTCAGCTTGGTTATTATATCATCATCAAACCAAACATGAGGCAGACTGATGATATGATGCTTTGGCTTAAATTAAGTTTACCATTTCTTTTTCTTTATTTTTTTTTTCCTTGCAGGCTCTTTTTGCTTCCTTTTCCCCTTCTTGGTTATGCATATAAGGATCACCAGATTGGTATACCAAGAGCTGCAGCAACGAGTACCTCAAGCCTAAAAAGGAAAGTGACAATACAAAAGTATTATAGCACAAAATAAGTAAGCATTCATATTTGAATTTGAAGTTTTAGTTATCACATATGACTGACCACAAGGGTCTTTTGCATCCTCTAAATTAGCATGGAGCCTAATAGACTTTCACAACACGTATGAAGTTTCAATTACTAAGCCTAAAATTGTGATTGCCTCTGAGAACTGGACTTCAATGCCAAGCTCACCTGCTGGCCTTCTCCGGCTATTCTTCAGAGAGATGCCAATCTTGCCTGCAATGTTGTTTGGATTTCTGATCCGACTTGCTAATTTCCAACCACCATGTATTTCAGTCTGGTCTTTTACGAAAAACAGGAAAAGAAAAGGAGGTATAAATATTATCTGGGCAACCTTCTGTGTCCATGAATGAACGAGTGAAAGAACAACCCGAAATGAATGGCATCATTCTCTTTTATCCTCCTCAACAACTTCTCCTAGCCCAAACACATGATCTGCTGCAATAGATGCCTTCCTCTCCTTCCTTTCCAGTTTAGACACAAGATCTCCTCCCACTATTACTCCACTGCCTGTGAGGGACAGACCCTCCTCCTCATCATCAAGAGTCTCCCCTGAATATGCGTATCTGTAAAATTGTGAAGCGGTACCAAATTAGAGACTATTTTCAGAAATAAAGGACTAACCCCAGCAGACCAAGGAATTTGTAGACGAAGCAAAACTTTGCATGAGCGAGAGAAACACAAGATATAAAATAAAATTATCTTTTCTTTTGCAAAGTAAAAAGCAGTCACCACCAGCAACACAAGAGGATATATGCTACAGATCCCATCAAAACACATCGAAACTAAACCTTAAATAAGTAAGAGAAACAAGGAAGGTTAGACTTGCCTAATCTTAGAAGAGTTGGGAAGGTACATGAAAGATGTCGAAGGTTCATAGGGATGCAATTGGGGTACGGCAGGGCCTGTTTAGCATTTTTCCAGAATTTTCCCTGCCCCGCCCCGGCCTGCCCTGCCCTACCCCGCCCGTTTAGACTCTCCTTCATTTTTATTTAGTTTTGTAATATTCTATTCAATTTTTAAAACTTTTTTTTGACCTTTTAAATGAAATATTTAAAATTAACATGTGAATAAGAGTTGTTTATGTATATTGTTCGAACAAAATGTCTTATATCAATGTTATTAGTGATATTAATTATTAGTGAATGATGCTAGAATAAATGGAAGCTACATAGAGTAAAAAAATATTGCAAGGAAAATCAGGCATATGTAATGCGGTCAAATTTATTTGTTGAATTGAACGTCTCACTACACTGTAAGATGGAGACAAAATATTATATTTTATTGGCTATTAATCAATTCCAATCGCCTTATTATGGGGGTGTAAGAGTGTAATCTATAGTAGATTATTTTCTTTGGTATTTACCCAGCAGACTCTTAGTTTTTCTCTGAAGATCTAAACATATGATTTTACAGAAAATGTGGGATTATTAGAGCAAAAGGAAATCAAAAGAAGATTTTCTCATATCTTTGTATGATATATTTGAAACAAGGTGAGAGTGGAAAAACTAAAACATTTGTGAGTAAAGCGATGCACATTTTTATGAAATCTTTATTGGAAATTACAAATCAAATTAATGAAATAATTTTTATTAGAAGACAATCAAATAATGACAAATTTCCTTTCAATTTGGAGATGCTAAACCGAGGACATCAACGATTTTGGCATTTCAAGAGTTCATCCTGGTCATTTTATCTGGCACAAATTTTAATTATAAACATTGGTCATTTAACTTCTTTTGGGAGATAATTAGAAAGGAAATATTCTTTTAATAATTAGTAGAAAACAATTGGAAAGGTGAACTCTACAGCAGGTGAACTTTATACATGAAACGCATTATAATGTGTATATGCAAAGTAGGAATTGGGAAAAAAGAACAAAAATAACCTGACCCAGTTATTAACTTGGAATCTGCCATGCCATGCCCTATTAAGAGTTTTTAAAAATAAATTTTTGCCCCGCCCCGCCCCGCCCCATTTAGATCTTGCCCTGCCCAGCCCCAATTGCCATCCCTAGGTTCAGATATAATTACTGGCACATGAAATTCATCATTACATGTGTTGATTTAACGACACCCCACAACAAAGAAAGTGCCACAGAACTTCCTGTTTCCATAACCATACAAAAAGAGAGCCAACGGGAAAATTGGATTATCTTCGTTCCCTGCTTAGGGCAGGGACATAGAGGTTTCATCTCATTAGAACTTGGACAAGATGAGCAGATTGGTTTTCTCACTTCACCAAACTTATTCAACTGTCGGAAAGGAGGAGATTCAGGAACTCTACTCATGCAAATATTGCAGGCAAAACTTCTAGGAAGGATTTTATTCCAATTAGTTCCAATGGCCATCTATTCGTGCATCATTTTCAATTATATGATACTGTTTTCGGTTTCAATTAATTAAGATATAAGTTTTGCCCCTTAAAGGACAGCATTTTACTTTCGCTTAGCATGTTCAAACTAATAGGAAACGAGTAATGCTCATTCATTTTAATATAACTTGTCAATTTAGAAGAGAAATATCAAAAGAACCACTAACATCTTTAAACTCACATTGTTATACTCGTGCAAAACAAAAACAAAATAAAATTCAGCAAAAACTATTTATACAGATAAATATTAACAGCTAAAAATGATTCCAACCAAGTCCTATTTTCCATCCAACTCCACATATTGAAGGCAACGAATATTTGTTACTCTGGGCACTTTGTCTAATTGTCTTCCCATACTCAATATAGATCTCTTATATTCACTTATAATGGACATTGCAGTATCATTTTCTTCTGTAAGCCAAAGACTCAATTTACAGCAACAATCACATACTCACAGCTAGTCATGCATATGTACCATGCTTTCCATTTATAAATGAATTCAATAGCCATCACTAACATGCAGCACATTTAGAAGTATGTCTTAATCCTCAATCCATTTGCAGTAATCTTCAGCCAGTAACAATAGAAGCAAACTATACAAATTGCACTGACAAGAAAAGGAAGCGGACAAGGATTATTCACCTGGTTGGGTTATTCGAAGGAGCCCAGAGAATGCATATCACCGTTAAAAGCAAGTATGCTAGTATGGTCCAGAAAGCAGGGATAATCCAGGCTCTTCGCCACAATTCACTCAATGGATCACTTGCATTAAAGTACAGCTGCATAACCAAATATATTAATTTCAGAGAGTAATCAAGAAAAGAGACTTATAATATTGAGGAAAGAGAAAGGGGATAGAACCATAAAGAATACCTCATAGCCAATCCAAGCAACAGAGAGCAGAACTGAAACTGCTAGAGAATTGGTAAACTTTCGGTACAGTTCAAGCTTGGCCAAGCTTCTACGAATCTGAGGTACATATGGGCAAAGAAGGAAGCCTTTAGATTCAATACAAGGATGTTTGTGTTTTCCTCCCACATTGAATAAAACCAACACTCTCCAGTCAAAAAAAGAGAAAAACAAAGCGTAAACTGTTGAAATTTTATAAAACTTCTCCTTGGGTTAGGAAGACTTAAAGAGAGTGATGAACTATGATGGAGTCAAAGATCAGTTCAATTGTTGAGTTTCTCTATATCTCCAACATAAGTGCATTTGTAATCAACTATACATCAACCAGAGTTTAAAGGCATCAGGTGTCCACCAAACAATTCAAAAGAGAAAAGGAGTATGTTTATGATGAAAATGCGATTATCTTGTAGTTTGAGCAAAACAGAGATTCAGAAAGCAGAGAATACGGCAGTATATAACTGATCAACCATCTTGTATTTCTTATTAGTATTTTTAACCAATCTCTAACTAACAGAATACAGAGAAAGAAAGTTTTCATCACCTGAAGCTTCTCTAAAGTTTTGGATAATGAGGAAAATATCCATACAATGAAGCAGGAATCTAATAAAGCAACGGGTAACACCAAAAAGATTCTCGCTTTTCCGGAGAAGTCATTGATATTTCCCAAATGTTCAACCAGCTCCAAGGCTTCAGAAGCTAGAAAGTATACCACACCCAGAAGAAGTACCTTTGAGGTTATACCGCCCAGTGTGGGCCGTACAACACCATAACCCATTGAAACCACTAGAAGAAGTAAACGTGAGACGGTCTTCTTTATAGCACTGAAGGTAACAGCCCACATGGTAATTCCCATTGGCCTGCTACCTGTGGCATTAAAATTTGCATATTCAAAATACCAAAGAGCCATTTCACACATTCCAAGGCCTATCACGGCAGTAATGTGATAGTGCAACTGTATTATATCCTTCCAGTGTTGTACAAAACATAAAAACCACAAGAGACCAAGAATGAGGTACGCTAGAGACATCAAACCATAAAATGTCATTAGTGGTGCCATCTTCCCAGGTAGATAGCCTTCTGGATTTCTCCAAACACTTCTACCACTAATTAATGTCCCCTGGAGTTCTGGATTGCAGAACATAAAATAGAGATAATACATTCCAGTCTTGTTGATCTCGACAGTCTGGAGTACCATACTAGCCTCTTCATTCTTTCCTTCAAAGGACGTCTGAATCCGCTTTGGCCACCCAGGGTTCTCAGAATCTTGATGGATTATAACCTCTCCTACCTTGCAGGATCCATCCTTGGCAAGAGCAGGGGTGCAACATATTGCCTCAGAATTAAGATAGGATCCTCCAATCATATTCCTGTCCTTGACCTCGACTATTATGGCTTCAACAATTCCAGTACTCTGCTGCATCTCATTTTGCTTATTTGCAGCCTCCTTTGTTCTTCTAAAGGTGATTGTCTCAAACCTGAAATCATTATGCAAGAAAGCAATGAGTCACTAAAATTATTCATCACATATTTTGGACATTCTATTTCTAAAACACAACAGCCATCATAAAGACAATAACGAATTCAGTTCAATCTATTAAAGATAGAGAAAGAACTAGGTCATGCGAGGACAAATATCAAAACATTTTATTTCTGGAAAACATCTTGAAACTTTCGGCTAATTAAAAATATCCAAACTTCCACTCCGTATGACTTATTTCACCTCAGAGTTGTTGTCAATCTCTAACCATAAAAAGTCTCATCAAAACACTATCCTAATGCTGACTCTACAATTTGTAGAATATTTTATGCCATCAACTTTTATATGCAACCAACAACAACGATATACACGGTGTAATCCCACAAGTGGGGTCTGGAGAGGGTAGTGTGTATCCAGACCTTACCCCCACCTTGTGTAAGATAGAGAGCCTGTTTTCGATAGGCCCTCGGCTCAAAGGAAAAAACAAAGCAAGTTTGAAAAAAAACCTTAGCAAAGAAGCCATGTGGAAAATACTAGAGAAAAGAAGCAATAACGACAACAAATAATAAGATACCGACGCAAAGGAAACAACAGGTAATATAAAGAAATGCAGAATAGGATAATACGAGAATAATAATAATACTACTGATATGTAGAAAGAGGAGTAGAACGTGCTCCAAACTGTCACCATCTCTCACTCTCACTCTCACTCTCAAGAACGTGAGACATCGCTCCTCAACTACCTACTAACCTTCTACCCTAATCCTTGACCTCCATACCCTCCTATCTAGGGTCAGTCCTCAGTAAGTTGAAGATGTGCCATGTCATGTCTAATCACCTTACCCCAATACTAATAATTAATAGACGGAGAGAATTTTAGTAATGAAGCTACAATTGTAGGGGAAGTGGCGAGGATGAGGAAGAATGGGGTAGCACATAAATAGATATAGACTGAAGTTTGCAAAGACCCATCGCAGCTTCCTCAATTGCCGAATAAAACACTATTGTCCTGTATGGAAAATCTCCCACTTTACTGTAATCTAACATAAATGGTTGAGAAAACCTGTTGCAATGTGTACTTACTTCTTCTGAAAAATGATCCACAAATTGATTTCCAGGTCAAATATTTTTTTAAGAAAATAATTTCCATGAAGAACATTTATCCCTACCAATTGCTTAACTAACTTAACTTTCGTGTTCCACACTTTGCATTCTTAATCTCTTTGAGTGTCAAATGTGTTATGCAAATAATATGTATATTTTCAATAACTTTTGCTGGCACACTAAAAAGTGTGGTTGGACATACTTTTCCAGAATAAAGTTATCTACCTAACTCATTCACTTTGTAAAATTGCATTCACAAACCATCTCCTTATTTTCAATAACTTTTGCAATCCTCATTTCAAATCTAGTAGAATCTCAATTTTCTTCCTTGTAATTTTTCTAGCCAGCTTTGATTTAGGATCACACCTACATCTACAACTTGCAAAACAAAAATAAATTCTCAAAATTTGACAAAAATAGCCAAATGTATAAAGTGGAAAAACACAAAAATTGGGTACCTGATGAAAGACTTGCCATTAAGGGGTTTATTATTGGTGTCATTAGAAAGGGGAAGTGGAGAATCTTGCACCTTAGAAGCATAAAGACCTTCACTACCACCATGGAAGAAGAATGAATTAAAACGAGGAATAAAAGCTTCATTCTTGTACTCATGGATCGACCCTTTTACTCCAATTACCCAACTGCTAACAATTAACACTAGTCCTCCAATTATCAGATCACATTTATCCTTTCTATATCTCATCTTCTTTTAGTTCAGTAGATGTGTAATCGTCGTACCTTGAATGTACAAAAAGAAAAGGGTTCTTTGAGAGTTAGCGTGAAAAAGGAGGATGAATGAAGAAGAAAGTGAGAGTTAACATCGGCTAAAGAAAAAAGAGATTAGCTTGTTAGTACTAATTAAAGTTACGTATTAAAGCTTCAGCTAAATCGGGGACAATTTTATTCAGGCCCATGTGTTATATTGTAGTCTTCAACAAAGCATTTAGTCTCAATATATATATATATATATATATATATATATATATATATATATATATATATATATATATATATATATATATATATACTAGTCTTAGTAAACACGTATTAGTATAATTTTAAAAACTTATGTACATAATATATTAAATATTTGTATTTTTGTTATAAAATAAAAGCTGAAGAGAAAACTGTAAATTTGAGAATGATAATTGTTGATCTATTAAACTAATTCAATTTAAAGTTGGTTTTCTGTTGTATAAAGTGACAACTCTAATTTATTAATTATGAAGGTGACTCTATTTAGGAGGAAGTCTCACAAAGTAATTTCCTATAACCAATAGAATGAAAAAGATCTCAAAGATAAAAGTGCTCAAAATTGTTAGTATTATTTTTCTTTTTCAAATTTAATTTATCGTGTCAACTTAAATATTAGTTTCAACATTTTTTACTATTTATATAAAGAGGCCTAAACCTAAAAATAATTGGAAGTGCTCGAATTGATATTATTTTTATTTTATAAATATGTTATATTATTTTTCTTTTAAATAAACAAGTATTTAATACAAAAATTTTGTTGATTTCGAAATCCTAGATACTACGAAAAAAATTAAATAACTATTTTTAAATTACTTAATATTATTCTTTAAATAAATTTATATTCAACGAGACAGGATACACGCGCAACGAGTGTATCTCATCTCGATGAATATATATTTTTTACCACTTACATAAAAATTATATTAAAAATATATTTGAATTAATTATAAAATAAAAGTTATAAGCTCCTGAAAATGTTTATTGAGCTAATTCAATAAAGTCAAGCTATCATTTATTGAATAAATATAAAAAGAAAGAAAAATAATAATGGCAACTTCTTTTGAATACCTTTTGCTTACGGTATATTCTTATTACTTCAACTTAGCCTTTTTAGCAATTTAACTTTTAATACTATATTATAATATTGCTCTATTTTCTTATTTCTTTCACGGCAAATGCTCTTATTGTGTAAAACAATTTGTGTATCTTAAGAGTTCTATCAACTTGACAAATAAGTTTACTTATATGATAATTTTGAAACAAAATTGAATTGACTTTTTTGCTGCTTTATTAATTCAAAAACTTAATTATTTGTTGAGAGTCCATGCTTTTATGATAGCATACTAGATATAAATTATTTTCGAACTTTTTCCACTCGAGCCTAATATTATTCTCTTTATCGGTTTATGTAATATTAAAAATTACATTTAATAATTAAATTAAATATTTAATTAGGTAGAAAACCTCTTGCTTTAGTAGTAACAATATATAAAAACATCTTGTTAGAATTATAGGTTCCCAAAAAAGAAGAATTAATGTGAACATATTTCTATGCAAATTACCGTGAGGAAATAGAAAAGAACGTAATTCTCTTAAATAATATCCATTTCAAAGTACTTAATAGTAGGATTTCTTACTTAATTCAATAAGGAAAAATCTAATAATTGAAATTTTAGTTTCTTTTAAAGTCCTAAATATTAGGATAATAATTAAATTCCTATTTTGTCTAGTGCGAACACTATTTTAAAAGGGTAAAAAAGGCGAAAGATATTTCGCTAAGAACCTTCGTACTTTTAATATAGTATAGATATAGATATATATGCCGCACATTAAATTTGCCCATTTTTTTTCCATTTAGACACTTAAACTAATAGCTGTATATATTGAACACTTCAACTCAAATTATATTGTGTAATTGAACACACATTGCTGACATGACACATATTGTATAATACACTATCCTTTCAGAGAGTAAAAAGCCCTAACCTTTTTATTTTTTTATTTTATATATTTTATATTTTTGTCTCCTTCAACCTCAATTTTTTCCACCACCTCATCTCCACTTACTCCGCCACCATCTCCACCAGCTCCAAAAAAAATTTATTCCCTTAAATTGTTTTAGCTTTATTTTTTGTCCCATAGTTACTTCTTGTAACGACCCGATAGGTCATTTTGAGTACTACCTCCCTCTTTTATGTTTTGAGATCTTTCATAGGTCTATTTGATAATTTATGACTTGCGTGCAGGGTCTGTATCGATTTCCGAAAGGCTTAAATGTGAATTTTTAAAGAAAATATGATTTTTGACTTTGAAAGTGATTAGAGTTGACCACGGTCAATTTTTTTGGTAAATGACTTTGGATCGATGTTTTGATGATTCCGGTAGGTTCGTATGATAATTTTGGACTTGTTCGCATATTTAGTTGGGATCCATGGTGACTCGAGGCCATTTCAGCGCTTTATGTGAAAGGTTGGAAATTTGATTTTAAACTTTGAAATTTTCTTGAGTTTGGTCTTTGATTCTTGAATTAAGATGTTATTTTGATGATTTGAGCTTACAAGCAAGTTTTTATGATATTAATATACTTGTGTAAATGTTAGGACTGGAGCCCGAGGGGCTCGGACGAGTTTTAGATAGGTTGCAGACTATTCTAGGATAGCTGAAGAATTTCCGGTGTTGCTCGTCTACAGATCTCACATTTGCGAGGTTTTGTTCACAAATGTGAGCCTCGCATTTGCAAGAGCTTGCTAGCATTTGCGATGCTAGGACGGGGAATGTCAGATTTGCTTTAGTTCGCATCTGCCTAGTCGCAATTGCCTGGGAGTAAGGAACAGCTTCGCTTTGCGAAGCTGAGTTCGCATTTGTGGACACCCAGGTTCGCATTTGCATCAATGGATCACATTTGTGAAATTGGAAGCTCGGGATAGTTTGCAATTGTGACTAGCTATTCGCATTTGTGGACATTGTAATTGCGAACATGAGTTCGCAATTGCGATACCTGCAGCTAGGTAAAAGGCTGGGATTTCAGACATAGCTCATTTTATACTATTTTTGAGACCTAAACTCCATAAAGGCCATTTTTGGAGAGCAATTTCTTCCCAACTTCATAGTTTAGCACTTTAACTTATTTTCATTCAATTGTCATTACTTTCCAATGAATTTTCACTATCAAATCTAAGATTTCATAGAGTAGAAATTGGGGTTTTGGGTTGAAACTAGAGATTTTGTAAAATTGAGATTTAGACCTCAAATTGATGTCGGATCTTGAAACAAATCACATATTTAGACTTGGGGGGTGAATGGGTAATCAAAATTTGGTCTTAATTTCGGATTACGACCACGTGGGCTAAGATTGAATTTTTTTATTTATGTTAAAGGTTGAATCTTTTTCGTATGAGGGTAGTTTCTCAAGCTTGTTTTTACTTGTTTGAATAATAATTGATTAGATTCGGGTGGTTTGGAGGCTTGCTCCAAAGGAAAAGCCATGTTGGATTATTGATCTTGTCCTGAAAGAGCTAATATCGTGATTAACCTTGATTTGAGGGTATTAGGACATGATTGGTCTATTTGCTACGTGATCTATGTGTGGGGACGACGTATATGTAAGGTGATAAGTATATATGCGTTGTCATGAGTTAATCATGGTATATTACTTTATTTTACGTTTTTAATTATACCATGTCTTTACTTATTTCATATTGTTACTTGTTAGGTACTCATACTTCATACTTGTGTCTTCACTTAACCTGTCCTTAATTGTTATGTGTTCTAGCTTATTTCATACTTTTATTTATTGTACGCTTTTATTTGTTACATGCTCTTACATGTTATTAGATGCATATTTTTATCTATCTCATGCCTTTACTTGCCTTATTGCCATTACTTGCTTCTTGTTTCACTCTACTATGTCATATCGGTTTGCATGATTTTTAGATTTTTCTTGAGTTTACGACTTGTTGAAGTTCTTGTTGAAATATATTATGAGGCTAGTTTATGAACTTTAAATTGATTAATCTTGGTGAATTAGGCGTTTTAGTTCCCTTTCATGTTATATTCTGAGTTTAGCCGTATTTGGTTGTTATTGAAATTTGGATTGGGTTGCGCACCACAACAGTATTGTTATTGATAATGGGATCAGGTTGTGCATCACAATAATGTTATTATTGATATTGAGATCAGGTTGCGCACCGCAACTAAAAGGACGTCATGTAGTTGTTCTTAGTCGTTATGCTCCATTACTATGTTCTGTTTATGAGGTTGTGGTGTGATATTTTTCTAGGGCCCTCTATTGTCTACTTTCTTATTCCGTTCGTTACATAGTTATTTGTTTCTCTGTATTATTATTGCTTTTCTGCTTATTACTTCTACTGGTCTATAGTGAGTGTCTTGTCATAGCCTCGTCACTACTTCATCGAGGTTAGACTCGATATTTACTTAGTACATGGGGTCAATTGTACTCATACTACACTTTTTACTTCTTGTGCAGATCCCGATGTTGGTCCCAACGACGTTCTAACGCGATTGCTTGGACCCTTTACTAGTGTAACGACCCAATTGATTGTTTTGTATATTTGCGCCTTGTTTCCCATTTCAATGTATCACACATGCGTATTTGTAGTTTATAATTTTTGGGGTTGGTTAGTTTCATTTCGGGAAGATTTTGGGTTAATTTGGACCTTTGGTTTTTGGTTTAGAAGCCTAAGTTGATTATGTCAACCAAAGTTTGACTTTTGTGAAAGCGACCCCGGAATGCTATTTTGATGGCTCCGATATGTTCGTATCATGATTTTGGACTTAGACGTATGCTCGAAATCGAATTCGGAGGTCCCTAGATTGATTTGACTTATTTTGCCGAAAGTTGGCAATTTGAGGTTTAGAAGTTTTCCCAAGTTTGACCGTAGGTTGATTTTTGGCTATCGGGTTTGGAATTTGGTTTGCAACTTGAAATAGGTCCGTTTTGCTATTTGAAACTTGCCTGCAAAGTTTGGTGTCATTTGAAGTTGATTTTACAGGATCCGAACGCTTGGTTGCAATTCTAGAGATTCTTGAACTTTTCTTTGAAATTCATGCGTTTTGATGTCCGCTTCACAGTTCTAGATGTTATTTTTGTGTTTTCATTACGAGCTAGTTCG